GCAGCCGGTGGCCTTACCGATTTGTCCATGACGATGACGGCAGCTGTGCCGAGCCCGGTTTGCGCCTGCACCAGCCCATCAAAGTCCATGGGCACCGTCTCACACACCGACTTTGGGATGAGGGGGGTAGAGGAGCCTCCAGGGAGCACAGCCAGCAGGTTGTCCCAGCCACCACGCACGCCTCCTGTGTGCAGAGGGGGCAGGGGTAGGCCTAGGCACTTCCCCCCGCCCCTCATGGCAAACCACAGACATGGGGCCCAGGGCCCTCCCCTTCCTCCCAGGCCACCTCAGCACCACCTGCTCCTCCAGCTCTGAGCAGCAGCCACAGGTCAGCCCCTGCACACAGGCCACAAGCAGAGTTAGCAGTACAGTACCTGACCCCCCACCCCAAAACAGCTGGAGCTAGACCTGAGAGGCAGCCCTGAGGCAAAGTGGCCTAAGAGGGAGGCACGCCGTCGCTCAAGGGCCGGGGTTTGGCGTCTCACCCGCGTGCTTCTCGATCAACTCCTTGAGTGGCACCGACATCTCCTCCTCCACCGTGCAGGGCGTGTTCACGTGCCCAGAAATGTTGAAGAGCTTGGTGCCCGAGTTGCGCTCACGCCCGAAGCTGGCAAACCAGGTCCCCCCGCGCCGGCAGATCGTAGGCAGCCAAACACGCCTGGGGAAGGAGAGGGCAGTGATGAGGCTGCAGAGCAGGCTGGGGGTCCTATCACCCAGCAAATAGCACAACCCCCTCACCCATCAAGCACTAGGGCAGAGGGACCCTTGCTAGAACGCCCCACAATCCCACAACCCCCTCAAGTGCACCCCTACTAAGGAGAACCTCCCACACACAGCACAGTTCCCCAGTGAACACGCCTGGGGAAGGAGAGGGCAGTGATGAGGCTGCAGAGCAGGCTGGGGGTCCTATCACCCAGCAAATAGCACAACCCCCTCACCCATCAAGCACTAGGGCAGAGGGACCCTTGCTAGAACGCCCCACAATCCCACAACCCCCTCAAGTGCACCCCTACTAAGGAGAACCTCCCACACACAGCACAGTTCCCCAGTGGGTCGTACCAACGTCAGCTGGGAAGGGCGGTTTGAGGCGTGGCTTGCCCTGCTTGCCCTCAATGGATTCGATCAGCGCCGTCTCCTCCCCACAGATGTAGGCCCCAGCGCCCCTCACTACAAACACGTCAAAGTCGTAGCCTGAGTTGCAGGCATCTTTGCCCAGCAGGCCAGCCTCGTAGGCCTCCCGGATCGCCACCTGCAAGGAGACAGGTCAGCACAGCTGCTCCCTCTGGCTAGGTCTACACTCACGGCTTCTTGCGTGAAAAATATGCAAATGAGGCTAAGCATGGAATATCGCTGAGCCTCATTTGCATACCTAATGAGCTGCCATTTTTGCAGAAGAGGCTCTTGCACCACAAGGAGCTGTCTACACTGCCCCTTCTTGTGCAAGAAAACCCCTCTTGCTGATTATTTTCAAGAATAACGGCATTGCGCAAGAGGGGTTTTCTTGCCCAAGAATGGGCAGTGTAGACAATTTCTTTTGGCGCAAGAGCCTCTTCTGCAAAAATGGCAGCTCATTAGGTATGCAAATGAGGCTCAGCGATATTCCACACTTAGCCTCATTTGCATATATATCATGCAAGAAGCCGTGAGTGTAGACATTGTCCTTATGTCTCCCTGGCCCACCCTTGCCCTCTGGGTCCTGCACAGAGACTGATCAGTGCAACCGCTCCTACTGTCACATCCTGGCCCTGCCACATGGTGAAATGCAACAAAGCAGCAATTCCTCCCCTCGCCAACTCCCCAGGTTCAGGGGGTCAGTGTATCTGCTCCCCCGATGGCTCCTGCCTACCTGCAGGTTGGAGGCTTCATTGTAGAACTCCCCACGGATGTAGATGTAGGCGGCCCGGGCTCCCATGGAGCGCCCTGCCACCAGGCAGCCCTCCACCAGCTTGTGCGGGTCATGGCGCATGATCTCGCGGTCCTTGCAAGTGCCTGGCTCCCCTTCATCTGCGTTCACCACCAGGTATTTGGGCCTGGAACACAGACCCGATGGCACCAGCCCTCCCCAGGTGAGCCCTGTCCCACAGCCAACCCAGCTCCACTGCCAGCGAGGTAAGCCTGTCTGGCTAGCACAGCCAGCTGCCCCCACCACAGGGAGCCAACAGGGCCCAGACACACGGCTGCAGGACGTAGGTTGCTGAGCGATCAGACTGCCCTCCTGGGATGGAGGCAAAATGGAAACTCTTGCTCATGTGGGAGGCTTGCAGCCAGGATGTTGGGTTCTATGCAGGCTTCAGCCCTGCTCATGCCCCAAGCCTTCCCACCACAGGGTTTCAGACCAGAAGGAATTGCATTGCCCTAGCCATTTCCCACCCGACAGCAGAGAACCCAGATGGCAGCAGCCCTGTCCCACCCACCTGCCGTCTGAAGGCTTGTTCATGAAGCTCCATTTGAGGCCTGTGGGGAAGCCAGCTCCCCCCCGCCCTCGCAGGCCAGAGGTCTTGATCTCGTTCAAGATCCAATCCACTCAGTCACCCCGGCTCAGAGCACCCTTCAGCCTGGACAAGAGAAAAGGCAAAGCAGCTGGCTACACTTTGGGGATCAGCAGCTCAAAGTTTGGAGCACAAACCAAACAGATACCAGCTCTTATCTCCATGGGCACCAGCTCCTACCCAACCCCAGCTTGGGGAAGGGGACCGGCAAGCTCAGGTCTGGGGAATGGACCTTTTCCCTCTAGGGATACACACTGACTCAAATTTCATTCCGGGGCAGAAAACTGACTGGCTCAGTGGAGTGGGGAGGGCGTGGACCATGACAGAGGATCTTTCATTTTTAGGAAGTTCTGACTCCAGTTCAGTACAGGGAGGCTGAGAGAGACCAGCAGGCTCAGGAGAGTGGAGAAGGAAAATAGGACCTTTAAACTCTGGAGGCACGGCCCCCACATAGCCCAAAAGAAAGTTTTTCTCCACACAGCACACAATCTGTGGAACTCCTTGCCAGAGAATACTGTGAAGACTAGGACTTTAACAGGGTTGAAAAAGAGCTAGATAAGTTCATGGAGGTTAGGTCCATCAATAGCTATTAGCCAGGGTGGGTAGGAATGGTGCCCCTAGCCTCTGTTTGTCTGGAAATGGATGACAGGGGAGGGATTACATGAGGATTATCTGTTGTGTTCACTCCTTCTGGCACATCTCGTATTGGCCACTGTCCGCAGACAGGACACTGGGATGGATGGATCTTTGGTCTGATGCAGTATGGCCATTCTTATGTTCTTTTCCTTGATAGTGTGCGCCATCACTATCCAGCTCTAGGGCTGAGAGTAGTGGGGGCTGGGACATAGGACCCCTCCCCTCTCAGAGCTTCCTGTCCCCACTGGTCCACACTCAGTCAAAACAGAGAGTAGGTGGAGATTCAGACTGTAGGCCATGCAGTGTGGCTCTCACCTCCACTCATGGCGTCCATAGAGATTCGTGAAGATTCGGTCCTCGTCTTTCAGGGAGCCAAACTGGGTTTTCTTAGGAGCTGTCTGCAGAAGATGCATTGCCAAGGTGACTTGGTACCAGCCCCACAGCAAACAGCACCTGTCCCTCATCACCAGGCACTAACCTGGGCCTACTCAACCCAGCACTGCCCCAATCCCACCTAGGGCCACCCTGGCACCCAGCTTCCCAGATCCTGATCTGTCCCCCAGTATCATCCCACCCCAACTCCCCCCCCCAGCACCGCCCTGCCCCCCAGCACCACCTCAACCCCCCC